AAAGGCAACCAAATTGGAAAAGAAAAAGTAAAATTGTCTTTATTTGCAGATGACTTGATACTATACATAGAAAACCCTAAAGACTCCATCAAAAAATTATTAGACTTAATAAATGAATTTTGCAATGTATCAGGATACAAAATTAATGCCAATAAATCTATGGCATTTTTATACACCAATAGTGAACTTACAGAAAGAGAGATTAATAAAACAATCCCACTTACCATTATACAAAAAAATTAAGATACCTAGTAATAAACTTAACTAAGGAGTAAAAGAACTCTACTCAGAAAACTACAGGATGTTGAAAAAAGAGCTAGAGGAAGACATAAATATATGAAAGAACATACCGTGTCCATGAATTTGCAGAATAAACATCATTAAAATGTCCATACTAGCCAAAGCAATCTATAGATTCAATGCACTTCCCATTAAAATACCAACAACATATTTCACAAATCTAGAGAGAACTCTCCAAAATTCATCTGGAATAAAAAAACAAAAAAAGGAACAGCTGCAGCAATTCTGAGAAAGAAAAAAGTAGTAAGAATCTCAATATTAGATATCAGGAGGTATTACAAAGCCACTGTTCTCAAAACTTCCTGGTACTGGCAGAAGAACAGACATATAGACCAATGGAATAGAATAGAGAACTCAGAAATCAACCCAAACCACTATGCTCAATTAATATTTGACAAAGGAGGCAAGAACAAAAGACATTCTCTTCAATAAATGGTGCTAGGAAATTTGGCCAGACACATGCAAAAAACTGAAACTAGACCACGAACTTACACCATACACAAAAATTAATTCAAAATGGTTAAAGGACTTAAACGCAAGATGGGAAACCATAAAACTATTAGATAAATCCACAGGCAGCAAAATCTCAGATATAAGCCGAAGCAATATCTTCACGAACACAGCTCCTAGGGCAATGGAAACTAAAGAGAAAATAAACAAATGGGACTACATCAAAATAAAAAGCTTCTGCACAGCAAAAAAAAATCATCAACAAAACAACAAGAAAACCCACTACATAGGAGTACATATTTGCCAATAACATCTCCAATAAGGTTTTAATCTACAACATTTACAAGGAATTCATACAATTTACCAAAAGGAAGATTAACAACCCAATCAAAAAATGGGCGAAGGAGGACATAAGGAGGGCCAAGAGACATATGAAAATATGCTCAAAATCACTAATCATCCAAGAGAGGCAAATAGAAACAATAATCAGTACCATCTCACACCTGTCAGAATGGCTATCATCAACCAATCAACAAATGACAAATGCTGGCAAGGATGCGGAAAAAAAGGAACCCTCATGCACTGCTGGTGCGAATGCAGACTGGTGCAGCCACTGTGGAGAACAGTATGGAGTTTCCTCAAAGAACTAAAAATGGAACTTCCATTTGACACAGTAATCTCACTTCTAGGAATATATCCCAAGAAACCAGAAACACCAGTCAGAAAGGATATATGCACCCCTATGTTCATAGCAGCACAATTTACAATAGCTAAACTTAGAACCAGCCTAAGTGTCCATCATCAGATGAGTGGATTAAAAAAAGTTTGGCACATCTACACAATGGAATACTATGCTGCTGCAAAAGGAAGTAACTCCTATCATTTGCAACAGCATGGATGGAGCTGAATAGAATAGAGAACTCAGAAATCAACCCAAACCACTATGCTCAATTAATATTTGACAAAGGAGGCAAGAACAAAAGACATTCTCTTCAATAAATGGTGCTAGGAAATTTGGCCAGACACATGCAAAAAACTGAAACTAGACCACGAACTTACACCATACACAAAAATTAATTCAAAATGGTTAAAGGACTTAAACGCAAGATGGGAAACCATAAAACTATTAGATAAATCCACAGGCAGCAAAATCTCAGATATAAGCCGAAGCAATATCTTCACGAACACAGCTCCTAGGGCAATGGAAACTAAAGAGAAAATAAACAAATGGGACT